TTGCATTTTCAGTAGTGGGGGGGGGGGGGCAACTTCACATAGCCGATCGTACGCTCCTCGCGGCCGATCGTAATCGAACTTTACGCGACTAAGGGTACTATTACATTTGTCGTACGACAAATTTTTCAAGCGTGTCGATTGGCCGCTGAATAGAAAGTTTCTAGATACTCGAGAATTTTACTATCAGCCAATCAATACGCTTAAAAACTTTGTCGTACGACAAGTGTAATACCAGCCTAAAGACGCACACGTGCGAGATTCGAAACCGGATAATGGAACGCCGTGATAATCGGTGCCCGCGTCGGCGAGACGAGTCGACAAACGAGTAAACGCGGCTTTTTTTTTCTCTTGCAGCCGAAGTGTCTCGGTTCGTGTCGACGCGTCGGTTCATCAAAGGATCGAACGAAATCCTCCCCCCCCCCCTCCCTAAAGATACCGCGGACGTTAACGAGTCAGAAATAATTCGAAGAGGGATATTATGGCCGGGTATGTAAACACGCTCATACGTCTGTTATGATTCATATCTTATCGAGATATAATACAATATAACGTTTCTTAACGGTAGCCAACGGCACACGGTACTATTTTTCCTACCTGATAGTTTACGTGAACCAATAAGGATGCAGAGTTTCAAATCAGATTACTCGAGACTGAATCTTGATTGGCTCTCGTAGGCAATCCATTAGGAGAAATAGTATCGCGCGCCGTTGGCCGAACACACTCGCCGTGCTTGCCACACGCATTCAAATCTCCGTGAGAGCGACCGGGGCGATTGAACGAACGATGAAGAGAGCAACAAGCATTTCAATCGGCGCTTTCCATTTACCGGCACAATTTGACGCGCGTATCACTTTATCCTTGCTCATTGAATGTCGGAAAAACGACAAGTTCGTGTCGACGTGTCGCTAAAGGCACCAAACAATAGCGTTAGTTGCACTGAAAAGAAAACAGGTGAAACCCTCTTAGGATTTGTCTTCTAAAAGAACTTGACGTTGCACGTTACGCGGTGAATCAGTCGGTTTTTATGAGAAAAAATAACTCGACCATATAATTTTATGCGTGCCTTAACTTTGCGCCACACTTTATTCAATGCGCGATATGCGAGAGAGAAAAAAATATATACAGGAAAAGCTCGTCGGGAAAATCTCGATTTGTCTCGCGTCGCTTCTTCCTTTTATTTCTCTTTAAGATCCAGTTTTTCATTTTCTAGTTAAATGTTAACCAGAGATTAGTCGATTAAGGTTCGGTTTTTCATTTTCTGGTCAACTGTTAACCAGAGGTCAGTTGATTCTCCATTTTATTCTATATTATTATCGAATTGTAAGAAGAAGCGGGTAATCGACTAACCGTTTTCTGGTTAACATTTAACCGGAAAACGAAAAGCCTAAGGCCCGGTTTTTCCAACGTCGCCTAACTTTAATCTCGGTTTAATTCACGTTTGTCTCTTTCCAAAATAACAGTTGGAAAGTTTCCAACAGCTGGAAACAACAAATTAAGCTAAGCTCAAAGTGAAGCGACGTTGGAGAAACCGGTGGGCCCTAGTGGCTTACCGAGTCATTTTTCGCACTGCTTCGTGTTTACCATTTAAGGGACCTTTCAAAAGACGTTAATAATTTTTTACGCCGTTACCTTCGAACAATAATATTCTCCGGTCAACAATATAAGTTTTCAAGAATGGACGATCAAGAATAAAACTTCGAGACGACCTCGAAGATTTATGAATTAGATGCGTGTTTCCGCATACGACGTTAAGGATCGTAGGATCCTTCGCACTTTATACAGTCCCTTTCGATTGCTAACATCTGATGCCCGCAATGGTCGCCTCGGGCCGTTTCTCGTTCTACATTTTTCTGTCGGAAGACGCTGCCTCTTCCCTTACGAAACTGTCTCTGCTTCGTAAAATGCATTTTCCCTGTCTAAGGCTCGGTTTCGCCAAACGTCGCTTAACTTTAATCTTAGTTCAATTCATGTCCGTCTCTTTCTAAAGTAACAGCGGGGGAAAGAGACAAAGAACGTGTTAAACTAAGTTTAAAGTTGAGCGACGTTGGCGAAACCGGGCCTCAAGATTAATATTTCCTGCCTGTAATCTTAGGCCCGGTCTACAATGAGTTTGTCAATTAGAAGTCGGTAACTGCATGTCGATCCTTTTCCTCTCGGGGCGGAAGAAAAAAGGACCGACATATAGTTCTGACTTCTGACTAACAGCTCATTGTAGATCGGGCCTTACTACTTTCCTTACCCCTTTTTACATTAAAAATAAAATAATCGTGCATTTGAAGCGGAGAAACGAATCACTGAAAGTGAGGCAGGCGCAATTAAAAAAAGATCGTATCTCGCGCCAAAATAAATACGAAACATTCGTAAAATACAGAGACGGATGCAGCAAAAGCCCTTGTTCCCTCCGTTTCTTCGAGTTCCATACGAAGTTTCTTTCCTCGAGACTTCTTGCTTTCCAAGGCGGTGGACAAAAGGACCCGAAAGCGTACGCTCGAACGCACGTAATTAGACTGTGCCGATCGAGTCTTTTTATCGAAATGAAAAGTACGAAGCGCGCATGCGCGGGCGCGGGGGCAGAAATCCGGGAATCGGATTCGGACGTCGCGGGAGTCGGTCGGTGCAGCGATTGAGGCGGGCGCTAACATTCCGCGAGGGCGAATCCTCCTCACGGCGTCGATCCACAGGGTCAGTAATCGCGACGCAATTCCGCGAGCGTGCCGGGAACCCCGGGCGATCGCGTCGAACGCGCGTCGAACGCGCTCGGCGATCGATCCGGATCGACGGCGGACAAGATGGGGACAAGAGGGGGGGAGGGAAGGGGGAACGCGCGAGAAACGTACCGGTCGGCAGGGGCCTCTTGTTGAGGGTGACGTCGAAGAGCCGCCTGATCTCGTCGTCCAGGCTCGGGTTGAACGGAAACAGCGAGTTCTCCAGCGTCGGCAACATGTCGTACATAATCCGACGCGGCGCGCCACGACGACGACGAAGGCGATCTCGCGGCGCGAACTTTTCGGCGAGCTTCCGTTCGCAGAGGCCCGTGGAGGAAGGTACTAGTCGCGCGGACGCGCGCGTCGCGTGTCTCGTCACCGAGGGACCGAGAGTCCAACCACTTAACGACCGCAATCGGCTGCGTATCGCGTACGACTGCGTCGCCGAGTGCCCAGGCGCTACCGGTAATCTTCTATCTTTACGGCGTAGAAGAGGAGGGGCCCCGGTTCCTCCCCGCTCCTCTCCGCTCCTCTGCCTGGCCGCGTCGTTAGAAGTTCACCGTACGGCGCGCACGGTTAAGGAGAAAAACGAGGAAAAAAACGTACAAAGCGCGACGCCGCGCCGGCCCCAAACAAAGCCGCTGCGCGCGCTCGTATTGTTTACGTGACCTCGGGAAGGGCGATAGGGGGGCTTAGGGAGCTAGATAACGCGCTTCGGACGTCGTTTCTCGGAAGAGAGGGGGCCGGCCGGCGACTTCTGCGCCGCGGAATATCCGGGCAGGGTGTCCGACCGGAGAGATCGCATCTACCAATGATAATCGGTTGATCGCTGGGACCCTTGGGGCGGGGGGG